TGCGAATTCCGGATCAATAAATCAGCGTTTGAGAATGATCTCCCATCTGAGACACCAAAACAAAGCAAAACAATTTGGGATTTTCTCGAATTCCTGTAGGCATCAACCTCCATTTCTCGCTTCTGTACATCCACACGTCCGGTTCGATCCTGTCGGGCACTCATCGTGAATTTGGTTCATTCATTTCTCCCTTGAACAACTGTGTTCCACGCAACATCACGTATCAGTTGACATATATCACGTCAACCACACCCGGGTATCCGCGACATTCGTTCTGTGTTCAGTCGGTTCATCCGCATTGATCCGCATCGTTAGTCACGGTTTTTTTGCTTACGATCCTCAAATCTCTAATTGCATGCGGTCTTCACCTGTGTTATCAACACCACAGTTCATCTCCGGTGCACCACCATTGTATGTTCAGAGCCGTCATGTGTGGTCACCGTGAGCCCAGCGAGAACCGCTGGCTGGTGATTGGTCCTACTTGCTAAAGGCAGCTAAGCATACTGGCGTTTCGGGTTTGAGAACTGAGCGTGAGTTATTTCGGGGTTGGTACTGAAGACGGACGCGCAGAAACTGCAGCTGCGCGTGATGCTGGGACGCGGCACATCGTGATAAGCTCAGGTCTATATGTAGTGGGATGAAAAGGGAGAACGATTTGATGAAGTCACCCAATGGGAAGTGATTCGATTGAGGTATACTGCAGATCGTTTCGACCACATTTATTACGTGTTTCCATGATATTTCCCACCGACACATTTTATAACTTCCAGATTCCACGGTTCGACAGTGTGTCTGCCGGCAAGTCCCATGGCTTTTGTTTCATAATGCGCGTTGGTCCGCGAGACAGAACCGCACCGATACCGTTTTCCGCTCGCAGTTAGTCACTGCTTCTACCAAGAGGCCTATTCCACTTACGATTGGCCAGAAGATAGGGCCCCTTGCTAGTCCAGCATCAAGGCAGGCTCTAATTGGCCGAAAGTCTGGACCCAACAGCCAATCATGATGCAACACCCCTCGAATGCCGGTTGCTAATGCCACATCTAGAAGGCGTCGCCGCATATAGTTTATAAACGACACGCTGTACATGTGTTTTGACCTGGTTTTTGACGTCGTGCACCCTTGGTGGTTGATTTGACGTGCCTGCCAGACCGAGAACTAAGCTGAGAAAACCACGGTTATTACACACACGCACAGTGAAGTCTTGTTCGTTGTGGCAATGAGCTACGACGGCACTTGCATCAGTACCCGGCTCTCTCTTCGTCGAGCTTCTTATCCTTCCTATATTTGTACCGACTACTATCAAGATCGTCTCGAGTGTACCGTCTCGCTTAATTTTAATAGTGCTATTTAATTCGTGTAAATGAGTCGATGTTTTAGAAACCTCTAATCTTAGCCGTCAGTTCCATAGGTGTAGGCTGCCTGGGTGTTCAAAACTGACATATACCAAACTAGTTCCTTCCTCACTATGAAGATACTAACAATCTTGATACGGTTTTGGAGCAGCGAGTGCGGTGATGATCATGGTTTATGGGTCTCAAGGAATCGATGTTGGTTAATTAGGTGCTCAAGTTGAGCCAAATCACAGAAAAGATGATGGACCTCTTATCGTGGGATCTTGAATTCTCACCGTGTCCCGGTGGCCAGTTTTGATTGTTGTACACGTTCATTCTGTAGTTGCCAAGTATAATGTCTTTCTGCGAGCCCGGCATGTACCTTGCCCTCCACACTAGACTTATTTACTTCCACTATGGTATTGACGGTCCCCCCCCCCACGAATTCCGCAGAACGCAAGACCAACTTCGATTAGATTACCACAATGTAATCTGGGGAACTGGATCCCGACTAAGGCGATTCTCATCGATGGCTGTCACCTAGGACATTATCGAGCGACAGACACAAAATGACTATAGTACAGGGCGACATGTGCATTTGCGCCACCCGAGTGTCATTTTTAACGCATAACATTTCATGAGCACCCTTCTGTTGTTCTTCCGAGTTAACTACTGTTTACTATCTATCCAACTTTCGTAAACCTGACGCACCATAGATTGGGTTGGATTTCCGGTTTTACACGACCCAGTATTTTTGCTGATTTTTCGTACCAGATAAAGAACACCACTAATTTACCAAATAATTTGACCGCTGGAATCTCCAGTCACCTGATTGGTGATCCCAATACAGAGATTGACTTCCGTGCGGTTTGGATCTTCGAAAACCGCCCGCTCATTCATTGAAACATTCTGATCTCTTATTTGCAAACTAATTTGGTTTTTCGAGAGACTCACCTGGAACCCAGCTGGATCTCTCGTTTGTGATGTTTACAGGGGACTGAATGTGCAAATGAATGTATATTCGCTAAGTTCGTGCTATTTGGTTTGACGAAAACCCGGGGACTGCGCCTACATGATGAGCCCCGAAAAGGGCGAAACAGGTCGTGCGCTGTCGACGGCTTTTCGGAAACCTTATGAGTAGTACATTACAAATATATTCTGATCTCTTCTTCAGCGCGTTGGTACCAACAAGGACATAACACAGCACGGTAGAATGGAGGCATTTCTTGACTTATCACTTCTAAAACTGGCTAGTTACGGCTAACCATTTCGCTCTCGTAAATCGTACGAGGGGATTGATCTGCCCCAACCGCTAGCACATTCATGTGAATAGTTCTCAGGTAGGATTCAATGAGGTCTGTAACAGGTTGGTGAGCATCCAACTTAGCAGTTAAACTCTTTCATTATACCGCTAAATGGAGATTAAGACCTTCAAATGAGATGCACCCATCACCAGTGTAGCAAATCCACAACATATGCTCATGAGTGACGCCATCATGACTCACCAGTAGCCACAGAAACACAGTGGACAACGGTCATTAGTGTCCCTTTTCCTGATTTACCCCTCACGCAGTGCGATACTGACTGATCGCGCACGGGTTGGGTAGCGCCACATGTGTAAACCGATGAACACCATTTTGATGGCGTAATTCATCGACGTCGGATTTCCGATTTACTTCTTGCAGTCTCTCTGTCGAACACGTTTTTCTTACTCGATACGGCCATTTGTTGTCCGCGTGCATATGGTGATCCCACACATAGCACTGTGTGAATTCGATGTGATTAGACCAAAGTGATATCCCTTGTAGGGGCGAAATGGCCCAAGTGTTTAGAGCGCGAATTTACTGACCCGAAGGTCCGTGGTTCGAATCCGACCTCCGCCTCTCAACTTCCCCTGTCTAGGCTTAGGCAACCTGACAGTATCTCAGCCCTCGTGCTTCCCTCGGGTGGCATGGCAGCTAGGCACCGAAACGGCGCTACAGCTGAACGATTATTGTTATTAGTATATCCCTTGTAGACTGATCTAACGGTTCCATTCTCCATAAAACTCTCACCTCATATGGTTGCACTTGGAGCAAGCGAGTTCCGTCCAGTCGCCTTGGACCAAAACACCATGCAGTTAGGTTTAGTTTCGGGCCACCGGGCGGAGGCCAGCGTTGCGCGGTTCATTTCTGTTGACGTTTGGTCCGCTCCACTTCCTGGGTTTGTTTAGACGAGTTTTTGTCATGATATTTCGGGTCTGGTCGATAAGATGTTGGTTTTCTCTCTGGTATCATTTATCGCCCGAGTTGCAGACTTGTGTTTGGGGTCTGACACATCTGATTTTTTTCGAACCTCGTTGAAACGCTCGAAGAAACTACAAGGAAGGGAGGACAGAAACACCGTACTGATGAACTCTAGGTAGAGAATTTGGGATACTTTGGTTTCCATGATACAAATCCTAACTGTGCTATTTCGAGTCCAACAATACAATTTTATCCCGTACGCGTTAATTACTAGGGGAGAAAATTTATCCAGAGTCTTTCGATCGCGAGGTTGATTCCCTTCCATCCGGTTGGTTCAGGTTCCGCTACCTACCTGACACACTAGGTAGCCCACTCCCACACGAAAACAGTCGGGATACTAACATTGACCTGACCTTCCGGTCATCAGGTTTGCGCCTTAACAACTGAGCGATCTCTAACTCCATCCCTCCTCCATCTGTTGGCGGAGAACACGCAATTTATGCCTGCGCTTGACCAACCTACATTTCGGTTCAAATACCATTGAGGCTTACGTTTTCATTCGCCACACATGCATATCTGAACAACACTCATCGTTTTTCTTGACCCCTATGTACATGCATGTTCTCGTTGTCCGCTTTGAATTTTAGCCTTCTCGGATGGTTCCGCAGGTAGTCCATTTCCGCTCATCTCTGTCTATGTGTTTGTCCGTGGCCCTACGCGTTGTTCACCGCCCGCCCCTCCCCCGTTCCCCCAATCCGTGCCAACACCGCCTCATCACACACACACACACACACATTATTCGATCTGGTGGTCTCTTGCACCCTTTCCGCCAATGTATACGACTATCTACCTGTTTGTTTGATTGTGGTAACTCACCACGCCGTGGTTTCGTGTATGTGTGTGTCTATGCGTGTACGTGTGTGCTTCCACAAACCACCGTGACCCGACCCCAGATGTATCGATGTCTTCCACAGATCTCCATCCAAGCCGTCTAGCATTCTTTTCACTTCCTTGATAACCGTAGTTTTGCAGCCCTAACCGTTTCGGTCAGCAGCGCAGACAGCAACCAACCATACATCGGCTTGATTCTAACCAGGTCAACCTATTATCAATAACGGCTAGTTGGACAGCTTTAACGTTAGTGTCGCTCAGCCCTTTTTTATTCTTTGTTGAGTCCTAGGGGATGATTGCTAAACCATCCCTTCGTCGGTAGTTTGAACACTTTTTCTGCTTCGTATTTGGTATGGGTAAGGAGCCGGTTCGGGGTGAAAACAACCTTATATTTGAAGAGTATGAAGGAGATCACGAAACGCTTGGGTGCTGTCGGTTCTACTTGCCTTCCAGGATGGGGACCGCGTGATCTTCACTGTGCCTGGTTGGAGACACTACAAGATATGTCTGCCAACCGATGTCAGTGGCGTTCTTGTTGTCAGTTTCTATCCAGATTGCCTGAGTGAATGTCTGGAGGTGTAGGCACCTCGGAATGATTGTGTTAAGCTAGCACTAAGTCCCTCCCCCATCCACCTTTATTCTTTTTTTTACAATAAGGCTTTCAAATAAGCCATGGTTGTACGGCAGTGAAGCATCGATGTTGAACACTGATGTCATGCTGTCGATGATGATGTTATTTGGTCAGCTGACCCCACTGGTAAAGGACACGACCCGCACACTACCCTTCCCTCAGAGAGCTGAGGAATGCACAATCACACGGGCCTCAGCTGTCCTTAGGCAGTAAGGATACCGTAAATGCTGTTGTACTTTTCGTTCGAGTGAATGTACCATTGTCGCTTCCTGGAGCACAGAGGCCACCGCTGTGACAGCATTCCAGCAGGCTGCTTCTAGGTTTTGGTGTGCCCTCCTTTAAGAACAGAATCGTATGCAACTGATTGCGAGGCAACAACTGGCACTGAATAATTGTAACGTATTTTTGCACTTTTGGATGTACGTACCAATCACTGTGTTCTCACCCATGTGTACATTGCTGTCTCGCTTCCAACAGCAACAACAACAACTCACCATCGCTTTTGACCACACCGCTTTGTGCCGCACATGAAAAATGATGATATTGTTTGTACAGTACCAGCTCATGGTTCCTCTCCCCACTTCAGAACTTTCTCGTGTCATCGGCCTCGAACCAAATCTCCACCTCGTACGCCAGATGATGCTCCGCTCATCCGAGTGGATTCGAATTTCGAACCGGAAGTGTTAGATATGTTGAATCCGATAGATCGGCATCAATTCGCGCGGAATTGCCCGGAACGTGCCACAGTCGCGACTGGTACGCGGCGAGCGGGAGCCGATGCAGTGCGACGTCCTGCCCAACTGAAGTCTCATCCTGAGTCCGCATTGTCCAGTTCATCCAACTCTAGCACGAGTCGTGCAGATACCTTAAATGGCTCGTCCGATGCGACTCTGAATTCGGACGTTGTACGACGGCGCACGACAAACACCCCACAACCCCCGGCTACGCCAGAACCCATTCCTTCAACTACATTCAAGGTCACTGAGGATACTTCGGTAGCCGCTCGATCCAAATTGCCCACCACAACCAAAGATCCTCGTATCCAGTGGTCTATGCGTCATCGACCTCACGAAACACCCGGGACTTCAGTCATCTCTAAGGATGCTGAAAAGTCGGCATGCACCGAACATAGCCCGCTAACGGGTCCCTCAGCCCCACCGCCCACTCCTACAGTTCCCCTAGAGCCCAATCCAGCCAAAGAATATCACTCTGGCTCGCACAAATCCAGCTACTTTTTCCGCAAGCTCACTTCACGGCTGTCAAGAAGGTATGTTTTCTTCCCTTCTATTCGTTTTCTTCGAAGTAGAACTTTGAAATTCAGAGTACTGCCCTGTATACCACCAATCTAGACGTCTATCCCCCTGCGAGGCTGCCTGTCGAGTGATTTCCAACTGGCGACTCGTAAGTCAAGCCGAGAAACACTGCACAGCTGTTTCTCCTTGTTTGAGGGGGATTATCAGTGCTGCGCATCTCACGAAACTACAGTAGGGAATCCAGAACCCGCGAATTCCAGACTAGTTATTAGTTTGAACACCTAACGCTTCGACCACGGGCAACTGCTCATCACCTGGACAAGATAAAACGCCTCTCATCCTTCACCAACGTGTTGCGCATCACATCATCGCCTGCTGTTAATGTATAACAATTCCTACTGATGTTCTATGACTCAAAAGCCACCCTGTTGACTGTTTCCCTGGTGTCATTTTTGTTGTCCCTGTTAGGTCATACATAGGTGTATTAGGGGAAAAAACTAACAGCGTGTGCCTACGCAATTTTTACCCATCAGTCATACATTAATCCCCACCCACCACACTACCATAACCGTTCAGCTTCCGGCGAATTCGGTGAGTAAACCCGCAAACGCGCACAGTGAAATTCTGTTCCCAGACACTGTGGGTGATCGATTGTGTAGTAGCCCTGTTGTTGCACCGCCACCCCCCACCGCAGTACAGTTACCACGTCATTATTATTGTTATTATTACTATTATTATTAGTAGTAGTATTGCTTTACTCGTTGCTGCTGCCGTGTGATTTTCTTTTTTTTTCGAAGTATCTACTAGATTTGTTCCTGTTCAGTGGGGACTGCTCACCTCGTGTGCGTGCAGCCACTTGATAGCATCGCCGTCTGATTCGCAAACCGGTTTTGAGTGTTGCAGTTGGTGATTTCGGCTTTTGTTCTTGTTTCCGGCGCGATCCGGTGCTCCTTCGTGATCTGAATTCGATTTTTCAAACCTCCTCAGAGAGCTGTTTCCCCCAAGGTGATAATCAAACGTCCATCGTTTTTTGTCACCGCTTCTAGCTTGTGCGCCAATCGGTGTTTCAGCACTCATAGTTGTGCTAATTGACACAACTTGCTTGACCTTTGCTGATCTGATTGGAAACCATCTTGCCTGGATCAATGCTTGCACTGTACTGCTGAGAGGATCGTTTATCATTCGATGTAAACGCGGGCTATTAAAAGAAAGTGATGTGAGCCAGCGAGACGGCAGGAGTCTTCAACCGTTGAAGGTCCGTGCTAATAACTGATGTCCGTGCGCGTCAGAACAGTGTTGTGAATTTGCCCGGTTACTCTAGTAACCCCTCCTAAGAGACTGAATCCTGTCGTGGTGTACCTCAGAAACTCCGTAACCTACCCTGTATAGGACCAACAAAGTCCAAGCAATCTCTCCTACAAGGATAGGAGTATGACCAATACAGGTCTAAGGTTGGTGTCTTGTTTCCTGAAAATTGGCGAACAATATAGTGTTGCACCGACCACCGCAGTCTTATAATCAGGATCTTAAGTGCTTCAAAACGTGTCTAGATAAATAAGCACTTTTATTTTACATCAGCTGTAAAGTGACGAATTCAGCATATGCGCCTTATTCAGGGCGAACGGACAAAAATATGCCACTGATGACGCCTCCATTTTCTTGTTTTCTGTTGACTCCTCTAGCTGTAAGCACGAGATGGCTCAGTGATTAGGGCGTGAATCTACTGACCGGAGGGCCTGTGGTTCGAGCCCGACCTCCGCCTCTCGACTTCCCGTGTCTAGGCTTGGGCAACCTGGCAGTATCCCAGCCCTCGTGCTTCCTTCGGATGGCATGGCAGCTGGCATCGAGAGGGTGCTACAGCTGAATGATTTGTAAGCACACCACTCGGACCCCTCAGGACGGTGACAGGCTTCAAGCTACCGCCATCTGCATCCCCGTCTTGTTTTCCTGCTGCGTTCCCTAAGCAAAGCGAACAAAAATTGGTTCATATAAGCACTTAGTTACCTTATCAATACGTTTGCAGAATTTCTGCAGGTCCAATACGAGGTGTGAGCGTAGTGAACAAGCTCACCATTATCTCTGCGTCGACTCCGAACGGTTTTGAATCTCTTGGGGTGGGTCGCCCCCATGTTGGTACAGCTATTAGCTGCTAAACGGATGCGTCGTTGCTCGATAGAATAAGCTGTCTTCTCTTCACTGTTCGTCTGCTCATCTCAATGAGCTCTTGCACCGACTGAATCGTTGACCGCTTTCTGTGTATAGCTTCGTTGATACACTAACCGATTTTACTTGTGGTATGCTGAACGAGACTCTTCATCGAGATTTAAGCTCCCGCCGATAATCGATGAAGAGTTTTCACTTCTGGAGAGCACCTCAGTTCATCGAAGATACGAGTTGGTGGCGTGGTTAGCTTAGAAGCAAGACGTGCTAATTGTGACTACCAGCTTTCCCTCAGAGATACTTGATTCAGACCAAGTGACCATCATTGTGGCCAGTTCTTGGCGTCCGATCTCTGTGACAGGGATCAGTACCCAGCCGGCGATCATTTCATGATTTCCCGAAGATATCTAAGACGTGATCTCCTCCTCTTTCAGTCGTAAAGATTCCCGGACCACTGAATTCAAAGACTTCCTCTTCAAAAAGCATTAGTTGTAGCTGGAACACCATAATCACAGCTCTAGGTGACATTAGGAACTCAGTGTGTGTCGTTTCGACACAATCACTCAGCTGGACCGCTGGACTTCACAGCAACCGCTGTCATTATTTGATTCAGGACGCTGTCCGTCACGAAGAGACTGGATCTTACCCTGGTGTGACGGTTCGCGCACCTCAGTGATCCATTGGGCCATACTGGGGGTGTCCGCGCGACACTCAGCGTCTCTCATACCAGGTTGGTCAATGGTTAGAGGTCTGACGAACACAGTCTCCTGGTCCTCCAGGTTGGGGGTTGGAACATGTATGGCGACTTGTTCCGTAGAAAAGGTAATGCATTTGCATTTCCCCGCCAAACACCGCTGCCTTGCGGTTAGGCTTTTGAGCCAAAGGCTTTGGTTGAGGACCCTAATCGT